GATGGTCGACATGTTCGTGGGTGACGCTGACAGCGCTGACAACGCAGACCTGGCCGCAGAAAGAGCGGACGTTCCGGTAGGCAAAGAGCGAGGTCGGGTTTTAATTAACGAGATTACGGACGCCCATTGCCAAAGTGCATGATTCTACATCACTAAATTCTACGTTATTCACCTATTTTTTTTTTGCGGTGAGCGTCTGAGAAGGAAGAAGTTGCAGCTTGGCTTGGGGAGACGGAGCCGTAGAACGCGTGGTTATGAGCGTGACGGGGGCGGCAGCGCAGCAGATAACGTTTAGTGGAGACATTCAGGAGTTTAACTGCTTGGATTGGTATTTTCCTGAAAAAAGGGGATGTGGAAATCGCCAGTTTGGGTTCTGCGCACTAAGAAAAAGATCGGGCAAGCCAGCAAGCCCGGAATACGCCCGAGTCGTGCACCAAACGTCTCTAAATGACCTTAAGAACCAGGAGCCCTTTAAACCAGAATTTAGCGTTTTTCACTCACCTCGGGCAGAATGGGATTTGGGGGATAATCAGCCTCGTTTCGTGCTTTGCTGTGCAAAGGGAGCAGGAACTGGATTTTTCTCTGACGGGTGCTGTTTTTGTGGGATCGTATTATCCCATGAGTGAAACCTGGGAATAAAATGGAATATTTTGGGATTTATGGTGAAATAAGAGCCGCCAGTGTTCCGTCCTGCAGCCCTTTTCCAGCCTGGATCTCTGCCCTGAGACTGTGTTTCCTTGGCGTTTCTGTCCGGGGCAGATTTTCCTGCCGCGTTCCCCTCCCTCTATCCAATCTCAGGCTGTTCTAACGGCCCCGGCTTCCTTAGCTCAGCAACCTCAGCATCCAGCTGGCCTTTCTGAGAACCCCCAGATTTCTCAACGCACCTTTTCCTTCACCATTTTCCTCTTTTTTTTTTTCCCCTCCCCTCACAGTTGAGCGAAAGCTTCTCCAAGAGCAAACCCAGTCCAGAGCGGCAAGCGCAGGCAGACATAACAGGTAACATTGCTAATTAAAAATCTAGGACAACACGTAGTCAAATCACCTGGCAACGGTCCCCACAGCCTCCTAATGACGCCGACGGATGATGCCGCCCTCTCCGCTGGCCTGGGTCCGACGGCCAGCCAGGACACGAAGGCTCGTTTGACCGCAGCATTCCCGCTGCCTCCTCTTCCCCCGGCCATCCGTTAAGGTCTCGTTACGGATTTTCTCACGAGGTCTCGGTTTCCAAATACCCAGACATCGATTCCCAACAGTCTGCCGGTTTTAAGCGCAGCAAAGGTCAACCCAGTGAGACTCAGGAGGCGCTGAAACCCATCGTTACCCGCCGGGAGGACTCTTACCAGCTCCGTACTTGTCGCTGGCATCGGAAAATGCAACGTGAAATCGTTTTTTTTATCCCTATGAAGCAAAGAAAATTAATCTCTAAGCTGCTTTCTCACAGGCTCCAGCTTGAAACACGTTTAGATTCGCTCGCTGCAGCGTGACGGATCTGCCTTAGGTCCCGCCAAGGAGCAAGAGTCCTTCCTGCAGCTCCCCAGTAACCCCTTAGGTCCTTCACTTTTGGTTATCAAAGCAAATTCAATCTAAATATCTAATTAAAAGTGGGGGGCAGAGGGATACCCCTGGGTAATTTGCCCGGGACTCGCACGGTTCCAGGGGTGGGACGGCACGTGGTCGCCGTGAAGTTGATCACAGAGATATTCTTCAGGGAAAGACCTTTCTTTACGGCTGTTATCCGAGTCTTTCCCAACACCGACTCCCGAGACTCCAGTTTTGCCACTCCGGGGGGATCCTCTGCCCGTCAGCCGGGGCTGTTCCGAACCTGGATTTACTCTGTTGCAGTTCAGGAGGCAGACGAAATGCTGATAAAATGCGAAGGCGGCATTGACGCAGCCCTCGAATACGCCAAAACCTGGTGTAAGTACGTCAAGGAGCTGCTCAGCTGGATTGAAAAGCGTCTGAGTTACGGTGAGTCCGTACACTTGTTGAGAGTTTTTGGTTTTAAACCGCAGCCGGGAGCACACACGGCAAGAACCTGGCCAAAACCCAACTCTTTTAGTTGCTTTTGTCCAAAAATCACAGAATCATGGAATGGTTTGGGTGGGGAGGGAACTTAAATCCCACCCAGCGCCCCCCCTCCACAGACAGGGACCCCTTCCATAGCCCAGGGTGCTCCCAGCCTCATCCAGCCTGGCCTTGGACCCTCCCAGGGATGGGGCATCCACAGCTTCTCCGGGAACCTGTCCCAGTGCTCCCACCCTCTGCGGGAAGAATTCCTTCCTGATGTCCAATCTCCATCCCCAACCTTTCGTTTAACCCCGTCACCCCTTGTCCTGTCACTCCCTGCCCTTGGGAAAAGCCCCCCCAGCTTTCTTGTAGCCCCCCAGGCACTGGAAGGGGCTCTGAGGTCTCCTCGGAGCTTCCATTCTCCAGGCTGAACCCCCCACCTCCCCCAGCCTGTCCCCATGGCAGAGGGGCTCCAGCCCTCTGATAAGGACACAGAATCCAAATTTCTCCCCTGAACAATCCTGATTGGATCTGGAAGAAGCTCTGGCTTTGACAAACCCACCTCTGCAACCGTCAACCTGGTGACTGATCTACTCTGCCCTTTTACAGAGACAGAGTTTGCCAAAGGGATGGTGAAGATAGCAGAATCGGGACGAAATGCCATCTTCCAACAGGTACGGATCCTAGGGATGCTCCTCTTCGCTGCGCGGGGGAGGAGCAAGCGTGGGGCTGGCTGCGCACATGGAACGGCTTGTAGAGCCCAGCTTAAATCCTACGGGAGACAGGCCTCCAAAAACCTTCCTAAACCCCTCAGTATTGGACCAGCTCCCTCTTTTCCTTCCGTTGGCTTATAACACAGAGCGGCGGTTTGGAAAATTAGGAGGCTGAAGTGGGAATGAGTCACTGCCCAGCATAAACCGTGGTCTCAGATACGCCCCCACCTCATTTAACCAGGGTAGCCCCTCGTCTTTCCGTAACAGACCTCGGCCACAGCTACCAAACCCCTAATTTAGGAAAGCTGCAGCGATTCTCCACCCCTTTACCCCCCCGGCTTTGCTTTCTGCAGTACAACATGCCCCTTCGGGCGCTCTATACCATGGTCCTGGAACATGACATCAAGGTGGGAAATTCGGCGAGCGAGACCGCAGGATTGCTCCAACAGAAGGAATTCTACCAGGTACGGAATCCCTGCAGGGCCTGGATAGCTCTGCTGGAAGATTTGGGGTCTGTGATGCTCCCTCCCGACAGGAGCGATTTATCCCAATCCGTGGGGATGGCGGGGGTGACAGAAGGAAATGGACACCAAGTTTAAGGGGCGTCTGGCTTTCCCTTGTCACGTGCTCATCTGTCAGCTACTTCCTCCAGCCTCAGGAGGAAGCGGTTCCATCCTAACTGCTCTCCCTCCGCAGCCTCTCTCAGCCAAGAAGAACGAAATTGAGAAATGGAGGAAGGAATTCAAAGACCAGTGGACAAAGGAGCAAAAGAGAATGGTGAGAGGCCAAAAGAGGGGCCTGACCTCCACGCCTTCGCGGCTCAGGCGCCGGGAACAGGCGTTTACGAGCAAGAAGGAACCGAGTAACGCGACGTGCGTCCTGCTGCGGAAGTGCTTTTGGAAAGCGCTAGCGGCACCCCAGCGCCATCCCATCGCCTCTTGCCGACCGCAGAGGCTGGCAGGAGCCTGCCCTTCAGCGCAGAGGGATCCCTGCGCCCCCGACCCCTTGCAAATACCCAGCCCCACACACCGGAACTTCACCGTCAGCCCTTTTCTCCAGGGTGTCCCGATGGAAGAGAAGGTTCCAGGGAGACCTCAGAGCCTCTTCCAGTGCCTTCGGGGGCTTTTCCCAAGGGCAGGGAGTGACAGGACAAGGGGTGACGGGTTTAAATGGAAAGAGGGAGATGGAGGTGGGACAGCAGGAAGTAATTCTTCCTGCAGAGGGTGGGAGCACGTGGACAGGTTCCCAGAGAAGCTGTGGATGCCCCATCCCTGGGAGTGCCCAAGGCCAGGCTGGATGAGGCTGGGAGCACCCTGGGCTACGGAAGGTGTCCCTGCCCATGGCAAGGAGGGGTTGGTGGGATTTAAGGCCCCTTCCCACCCAAACCATTCCATGATTCTGTGATAAGATGCTCCCAGGCACCTTGCAAAATGTGATCAGGGATGGCTGGGGCACTACTGAGCTGGAGAGGGAACCCGGGACCCTCTTAGAGCTCCTGCACTTTGGGAGGAGGGGACAAAGGCTGCTGGTGTCCACAGGAACAACAATATCCGTTTGAACTGAGACCGGCACTTTCCTCGGAAGCGGAGAAGGGCTGCGTTCCCCCGCTGCCTGTTCCCCCGCTCCCTGAAGCCTGTTCCTCTGCCTATTCCAGAACGAGTCCTTGTCATCCCTGCGCAAATCCCGCCTGCAGTACATACAGCGTTGCGAGGAGCTGGAGAAAGCCAAGCTCCTGAGTGCCAAGGCGGAGGAGGAATACCAGAGCGCAGCCATCGCCAACCCCGGCAGCGCCAACAAGCAGCTGGAAAAGCGGCGCCGTTCGTGCGAGGAGGCGCAAGCCAAGGTGACGAGATCCAAGCAGGTGGCTGGTAACCCCGGCCGGCTCGTGTGTCGTGTTACGGCATCTTCTTCCCCATCCCGGTGACCTTCTCCTCCTTTGCTCCCTCCCTGGCCGCGCGCAGGCTCAGGAGGCCGAAGCTTTGTACAAGGCGTGCATCGGCGATGCCAACTTTCGGCGACAAGAACTGGAGAAAGTCCGAGCGCGGATCGTCTCCCATATTCGGAAGCTCATTTACCAAGGGGACGAGGTGCTGACGTGGGTACGTGCAGGCTCAAAATGTCTCCCCTCATCCTTGTTTCAGGGAAATGGCTGCTTGGGATGAGCCCACTAGGCTCTCCACCGTTTCCCTGTTGATCCACCCCTGTCACTGACCAGCTGAAGGGAGCGGGGTGCTCTGGATATTGCTCTGCTCCCAAAAATTCCCAGCTACGTAAGCATGTTTCCCAGTACTGCTGCTTCGAGGACAGACACCCACAGAAAAAGGCTAGGGAAACATTAAAAAAAGAGAACAAAACTGAGAAATGATGGCAAATCCTTTTTATCCAACCTGTGAAATCAAACTATCAGTGGGCAGAGGGGCAGGTGACGGGTTTGGGGAATGAAAAACCGGAGACTGGCAAGATCCAAGGGAGAAAAAAGCCCCTGGGCTTTGACCAGCAGTGGATTGTGTTTTCTTTTCCCTCTAAGGTCACCTTAAGGATGTTCAAGCAGCGGCAGACCCAGGCAGAACAGATTCCCGTGGGATATCGGTACCTCTCCGAGGTGTGCAAGCCCTACAAAGCAGGCGAGAAATACCTGGAGTTCATTCAGGCTCTGCAGAAGAAAGATATCCCTACGGAAGTGTTTGAATTCGAGCCGCTGGCCCCCGGAGGGCAGAGGTAACACAAAGTGGGAATCTCACACCCGAGCCGAAAGGTGCGAGATCCATAGCGCAGAGTGCAAAACGTGTCTAGAACCGCGGTGACGCCGCGCTTGCCGACCCCGGGAGCACCCTTGGGTCTTTCTCCGGGCGTAGCCCCGCTCACGGGCCCTAAACACGAGCCCAGCCCCAGCGGCGGTAAACGCGGGGCAGCAGCTTTGCACCTCGACCCGTCGGTTCTTTCGGTCATTCACCAAAGATTCGGACGGCGTGGGTGCTGTTCCATTTCTAAATCTTTCCCGCCAAGAGGTGAAGTTTTAGTGGAACCCATTCCTTTTCCTAGTTTCATCCAAGCGTCTCAGTCTCCTCGAGGACTCAGCTTACACCTGTCGGCTGCCCAAAGCAGGCGCTTTGTCGCCATCACAACGTCGTCAGAGTGCCGGAAAACTGTTTGCAACCCCTTCTCAGGTCCCCTCCTGACGGGAAGAAGAAGATGGTGCCGCATCACGCCGGACCCTCTTCCGCAGCCAAGGACGGGAGCACGCCAGAGGATGCGCCCCGGAAGCCGTCCTCCGCCAACGACGAACAGAGTAGGTCAAGTTGAACAAAGACGACCCAATTTTCTCTCAGGCCTCCACCCTTTAATGTAGGTTTTTAGCCAGAAGGTGGGGGAGGTTCTCAAATTCTTAGGGCAGCGCTGACGGCTTTCCTCAGGCTGGGAGAAAGCAGAGACAAGCAGTCATGGAATTTCCAGGAAGCTTGGAGTTCAAGCCCGTGTTGAGGCATCCCGAGAGCACTCAGGATGGTCTCTCCACCTTCCGCAGGTGCGAACAAATCCCTTTGCAGCGACACAGAAAGCCTCGGGGGGAGCTGTGAATCCCGGTCCTTGGATTCTCCCACTTCCAGCCCAGGTGAGAGGCACGGGAATTCTCACCTGACGTTGCCCAGAACAGGAATAGAGTCCACACCGACTCGTCTTGTGCATCATGAGGATGGAAATAACGGTTTATATTTTCTCTCCTCTCAAGGAAACTCGGATAGGAAACTGCTGAAAGCTCCTTCCACCGGCACCATGTCCTCCTCCGATGATTTTGAGGAGAGAGATTCCTTGCAAACTTTTGAAACTGGTGAGCCCCGCGCGTTATGGGGTTGACCAGGTGGAAACCCCGCTGGTGCCTCGGTCCCTTCTCACGCTTCAATGCTGTTTCGGCAGAGAACGGCACATCGCAGCAGCAGTTTAAGAACATCCTCCTCTCCAGCGCAGCGCAGACCCACCGGCTCCGGAAGCTGCGGGGACCATCCAAGTGCAGGGAGTGCGATAACTTCATGGTCAGCGGCTTCGAGTGCGAGGAGGTGAGGGCTAGAAGATGCCTCGCACAGGAGCCTGGGGTGGCCACCGGCTCGCAAAACGAGGGGCCGCTCCGCAAAGCTCTGTGCTTTTTCTTCCTCTGCATTACGCGAGGCTTGTTTTCCTGTCTTACGTGCTGCAAACAGCCCTCTCCGGGTCAGTGGGGCTTTGGTGGTTGAGGGAACAGGAGAAAGGATCGGGAACAGCCCTGAGGAGAA